AAAATATATTGAACTCTACTGAATGAAATGCATGCTGAAGTGTTTAAAGAAGTGTACTAATATCTGAACTTACTTTAAATGAATCAAAAACAAAAAATGGATAAAATGGATAAAGGGATAGATAACTATGATAAAGCAAATATAGCAAATTATTAATTAGATGGTGAGTATATGAATGTTGTCAATTCTTTCAACTTTACTATACTCTGAAATTTTCCATAATAAAATGTTGGGAGAAAATTTAAATTCTAACCATTAGCTTATTAAGTTGCACATAGCATTTCTTAAAATTCAACAATTTCACTCCTAGATATATACCCCAACGTACAGAAACTTCACATGGGCTCCAGGAATGCTCACAGCAATACTTTCCATAATAGCAAAAAAATGAAAAACAATCTAAATATCCATCAAGTAGATTGCAGCAACATGTTGTTTATGCTAACAGTGAAAATGAATAAACCACGATATGGGTGAATCTTAGAAACACAATTTCGAGTGAAAAAAGCAAGTCACAAAAGAATATATATAAATGTCAACCTTTTATAAAGATTAAAAAAAACAAGTAAAACTAAACAATACTGTTTAGGGACACATACAAACGTGGTAATCTATGAAATAAAGCAAGGGAATAACAAAAAAATTTCAGCGTAGCAGATGGGAAAGGATGCAGGAAGACTGATCAAGCAGCAGCAGCACACAGGTAATTTCAACAGGCTAGCATTCTGTTCACAAACTTGAGCAGCGATTACATGAATGTCTTTTATGCTTCATAATTCATATTTACATGCTATATTCTCTTAATGTTTAGAATATTTCAGAAATCAAAATGGGAAAAGAGGGCCTCAAGATAATTATCCACTATTTCTTTACAACTATCTATGTTGTATACGTATACTACACGGCCTTACCCTGGAGCGAGATGTTTCCAAATTCAGAATTTGGGGGAGTTTAGAATGGTACATAAAGTACATACACCTTTACAGTATATTCCCAAAAACCCTCCTGGGAGTCTGGGGTAGCACTCTGAAATCAAACATATTAATATTTCTCAGGGAAAGCTATTACTATTTACACCAAGAGAGATGAACTGACTATAAATATTCTAACATCAGATCTGGTCAGATGTTACCAACAAATAAGTTTTACCAAAAACTTGGTTTTCAGAGCTCTTCATATATCAGAACTGTGGGTGAGGGACTACGAACCTGTACTTTCAAAGAGCTTCAACTTCACCTAAATATTAAGTTCCACACATTACTTTTTTTTAACCTCTCTACCTAATTCATTTTCCTTAAAGATTTTCAAATGTAAGTTTGAAAGTAATCCCATTTGTGCCATAAATGCCCAACTTTCATTTCACAAAAGAAAAACATGTATAAGACAATTTTTCAATTTTTAATTCTATTTTACTTTTATATCTTTATAATATTTGCACTTATTACATAGTAGGGAAAAAATACATGTATAATTTTATTTTAATTATGCACATAACCAACATCAAGCTGAAAGTCTAAGCACTGTGATAAGAAATATTTTCATATAGTTTACAAGTATAATGAAATTTATCAAATAAAGCATTTTGTATTCTAAGTCACTGAAAATTGTAAATAAATTTTTAATCACCTTTCCCCATCAACACTAGTCTTAAGTAACAGTTTACCCAAGCCTGAATCCCATAGGTTATTATTAATCATTTACTCTTTTAAAAAGTAAAACAAATTAAAACCCAAAAGCAGAGACCTTTAGAAAGACATTTCTCCAGCATAACAGTAAAGCACAATTCTTTTTACCATAATATTTGGGTAAGCAGTATGAGAAGCTGAGTTTTTTTATTTTTTGGGGGGTTTTTTTTTGTGAGGAAGTTGGCTCTGAGCTAACATCTGTTGCTAATCCTCCTCTTTTTTTTTGCTTGAGGAAGACTGGCCCTGAGCTAACATCTGTGCCCATCTTCCGCTATCTTGTATGTGGGACGCTACCACACATGGCTTGAGGAGTGGTGTGTAGGTCCACACCTGGGATTTGAACCTGCAAACTCCCGGCCACCAAAGCAGAGCACAAAAACTTAATCACTAACCGGGCTGGCCCTCAAAACTCTATTTTTAAATAATGCTAAGCAGCTCACAATCTGCAACTACCAATCTGATATATTCTCTTCAGACTAATTTAAGGACCCACATAAAGTAACAAGTCTCTGCAGTGACAAAAAGACAATTTAGTGTCTATAATCACAGTGTCTTGGAATCTAGCTCTATCTATGTTTGATGATTGCCAGCACTTCTCTGATGGCAAATTCAAATGATAAGCTACTCATTCAAAATTATATAGCAAGAAATAGTTGCCAATAAAACCATTTTCCTTTTCAAAGAAAATTTAAAGCAATTAACTAAAAATATGCTAAATGCACACAGAAGTGAGCTCAATTTAATGAACACCACTGAGCTAAGCACTTAGCAAGTTATCTTATACGACATTTTTTCCTACAGAGTTTACCTTCTAGGCCTAGCCTACTGAAGAATAACTATACAGTAACTTCTGGTATACTTCATCTTCTTACTTTTGTCATCTTAGGCGATATACAATATTAAATGCTATTTTCTGAGCTCCTGAATGAACTAACTAAGATTTATGGCTGTGTTTTTATCGGACTATAGTAAGTTTTCTTTGTTAAAGAAAAAATATTTATTTTCCATAGTAAAACCAAAAGAAACGCCATATGCAGTAAAAGGGTGATCAATTGTGACACGCAGGCTAAATGGCAAGGTTTCAAATCTTTAAAGTGACCCCAGCCATTATGTCATCAGTATTTCAGGAAATATGTGTTTATAACATTCTTTCAAAGATTAATTCACGGAGATTCCATTTGGAAAGATGAAGAAGTTCTGGAGATGGATACTGGTGATGGTTGCACAACAATGTGAACTGTAATTAACGCCACCGAACTGTACACTTAAAAAGTGGTTAAAATGGCAAATTTTACGTTATGCATATGTTACCACAATAAAAAACATTACTTTGTTCTACTATTTCGTACAAAATATACATAATTTAAAACTAACTTACCATAACATGGTTGAAAAAACAATTTCAGCTCATCAATTTGCAATAGAAGCACCAGCAACCTCACTCCAAAGAAAAGAGTAAGGGACAATTTTTGACCTGGTAAGATTTACCGCAACTCAGGACCATAATTTAATCAACTAAAAACAACAATAACAAAGTCTGTCCAGTGAGCAGCATCTGATGTCAACTCTCATAGCAGTAACATGCCACCTTAATAAAAGTGTAAAGTGTCTTGGCTCTGTTAGGCACTCAATAAATGAATGAACCAAACTGTTTACTGAGCATGTGTAATTTCATTTGTAAAAACAGCCTTCGTTTTAATAATTTAGAAAATACTTTAATAAAACAGAATGTATGATCATACTACATATACAAATAACTCAGGTTCAAGCTCAGAATAACCCTAATAATTATGACTAACATCAGTAAAGACCCAGAGGTGAAAGTGAAGTGTACTAAATTTCTATCTGGGATTGAATATGAACCTGATAAATACTTGAGATTTGCTGTACTATTTTTAACTGAACTTTTTGGCCTTAGGTCAAAGTTTTGCTAGCAAAATACCAAAATGAAAATGCTGGGAGTGAAGCCCAGAGTCTCTACTTTGGCCGAGGAAAAGCTATGCCCTTCATGCAACCAATCCTACCACCGATGGAAGACTTCTCAAGACCGCCCAGGGTGCCATGCTCCCACGAAAACATACCAACACCACACCAATGTGAAAATCAGTAGCAGAAAACGTCCAACATGTCCGACAGAATACAGTGCATCATCACACTCTGCGCACCGTAGGGAAAGACACACTTTTCAGTCAGTTCCTGCACTTTGGCCAAACAGCACTGAGTCACTCTGCAAATGATTCCAGAAACCTCAAAGGCTAAGCAACGGCTTCTGAAGAAAAGTCAGTCACTGGGAAGGGAGGAGACACAGTTTTTCTCATCATATAGTCACTAGGTCTCTCCCAGCAGGGAGCAGAACTGAACACGAGTTCTGGTAGAGAGGATCTAAAGGATCCAAGGATCACCCACCCCAACTCCAGTCCTCCCGAGTTAGTTCAATATCCAGAGCATCTTTTTCACTTTCTTCTCCTCCCCAGGGTAAAAATCCACACCCCCTTTTCCCATAAATTCATCTCTACTGCACACTAATCAAATTGTCTGTGCCATACAACCGTCTACCACAACAAAAATAAGAAAAAAGCAGGCATTCTACAGTGTATTCCTGATTTGTAAAACATATTCCTTTCTTAATCAAGTGCCAACTAGCAGACTACGTGGCTATTAATTTGGATTTCAAAGGCCGTCTTGCGAAAGCGATACAATGAAAAGGAGAGATTGATTCCACTCTATAATTCAGATTGATTCTTTGGCTCCGGCGCAATCATCCGGGAAATTAAATTTACATAAATTAAAACGCACTAAATTGCAACTGTGAATGTCCAAAGACAACTGAAAACAGGAAAACTTGAGCTATGTGTTTCAAGATTTCAGACAAAACTGAGAGACTGCGGGCAGCTCTTTGTCATGGACCCCAGGTGGGTACTCCAACAGGGACAGCATCAGGTTTCTCCCTCGCTTGGACCCACGTCCCCACGCAGCATGACACTCTTCAAATTGGCTAGTCTGGTGTCCGAAGGACAGCAAATCCTCCAGCCTACTCCCCAAACCCAGAGGGTAGACGGGAAGAGGAGAGGCCAGTTTGCTCCCAGTGCTCCATGAAGGGGGCGGCCGGGGATGACACCAGCCCGAGGGGGTGTCGGGGAATAATCAAAGGCGGGACTCTAGTCCTGGAACTTGGTCGCAGAAGTGTCTGTCTCGACCCGGGCCCCGGCTACCGCGGGCTGGGCGGGGTGGGGCGAGACCCCCCACCGATGGGTGGGCACAGAGGGGTGAGCTCCGAGCCACTCGCGGGGAGGGCTCCCGGCCCCGGCCACCTACCAGCAGGCTCTCCACGTTGATGGGCGAGCGCGGGTCTCGGATCAGCGCCTCCAGCTTCCTCTGGCGGCTCGCGCCCGCCCCGTCCCCCGGCACGGCCTCGGGGGCGCCGGGCATTTTCCCCGTCGGCGCGGGCCGGCTCATGCCGCCGCCTCCGGGCCGCACTGCCGCTCCCCGTGCTGCGGCCCGGCCGCCTCGGGGCCTAGCGCCGCCCCCGAACCGACGGCTCCAGGCGGGGCTCCGCCCGGGCCCACCGCCCGCCTCTAGCTCCGGCTTCGGGTCTGGGCGCGGGTCCCGGGCCTGCGGCTGTCCGAGGGGCCGGCCCGGCCCGGGGGAGCGGAGAGGAGCAGGCGGCGTCCCCGCCCCTCAGTCAGATTCGCGCCGCCGGGTCCGCTCGTCCGCCGGGAGCTCCCTCAGGACTCCGAGGGCGGGAGCGGCGAAGTGGCGCCGCCACCGCCCGGCCCGGCCCGGCCCGGCCCACCCCACCCGCCCTCTGGGCTCCGGGAGGCTGAGGCCCAGGCTCGCACAGCTACGGCCGCCGCCAGCCCGCTCCCATGACCGCCGCCGGCCGCCGCAGGCCCACCAATGCTCCCACGAAAACATACCAACACCACTCCAATGTGAAAATCAGTAGCAGAAAACGTCCAACATGTCCGACAGAATACAGTGCATCATCACACTCTGCGCACCGTAGGGAAAGACACACTTTT